AAAGAACCAAGAGAGGAAGCACTCTTACACTCTACCATGATGATGCCCCCTTCCAAGTTCCCACTAAACCTAAAGTAATAGACAATTACAAAATATCTCTCAGCTTCAACTTTCATACCTATATAAAAAAATATAATCACAGAAACATAATGAATGAGACAGCCTATGTTAACAAGAAATGTGATGGCTGTTACAGCACAAAATGCTGCCTTGTGTTTGCTTACTTTCTCTGGGGGCACCAAGAGAACTGAACACATGTCACCCTCTTACAAAGCAATTATCCTTATTCCTAAGAGGCAATGGAGGTGATTGGATAATTCTCTTGAGCTATGCATCACTCAAATGAATTCCTCTGCCAGAGGGCATCATTAAGACTAAACAGGCCAACACAAAATGCAGCCATGTGGAAAGCTAGACAATCACTCAGCCACTAACCTCCTCAGTGATATACTTACTCAAAAATTTTGCTCTGGAAGAATTACAAAAATAGAGGGTTAAAATCCTACCCGTTTAAAATGAATGACTGCTTCAGCTGAAATGTATTTATTAAGTATATATATTTAAAACATACCAATAACTGAGAAAGGCAGGCAGTTTAATGGACAGCAAAATACCATCGATGAGATGGCACAATCCCAAGCACTCAAAGCTTTTAGTATCTGTTGCACAAAATCCACAATCCTTCCCACGCTCACTTCCTGGCTATGAGTTCTTTTATTGTTAATGGAAATGAAACTGCATTACATAGTAGTTTCTGGAACTCTACATCTAAACTCAGCCCTTTTGAAGCAGCAGTCCTGGATGTGAGGCTGCCCATAAAACCCACTGCATGAAGACTTCCTATTGCAGTAAGTCACCTACAGAGACAACATTTACCGTAAGCTTCATCAGACACAGCATTATTTCAAAGAACCAGCAGGTTTCAGTTCTCAGAGTCACACTGATAAAGGAACCTACAGCCTCAGGTTCCCAGTTTAGTTAGATCTCCAGCTGTCACATTTTCTTGCCCGAAAGTGAAAGTAGTACATTTATAAATTACTACCTAGAAATTGTAAAAAAAAAAAAAAAAAAAAAAATCCAGCCAAATGAACTTGGGGTACTTTGTGTTAAAACAAGAAACCACTCTTATGTAACTCAGATTGGTTACCATGCCTATTTAGGGCAAAGAGGACGGACTGGCCTAATGCCTCCACCACCCAGAGAACATCTTTTTAAGCAGGCAGTATGATTAGCAGTAAGAAGATAACAAAATGGCAACACAACTTTAAAGAAAAAAGCCACAAGTCTTTTTCATTATTATTAACTTAATTCTACAAGTATATTAGTATAATGTGCAAAAATATTTCCCAAATGGTTAGCAGTTAACAGCAAGAAAAAAATTTCTCGGGGCTCCTGGGTGGCTCAGTCATTAAGCGTCTGCCTTCGGCTCAGGTCATGATCTCAGGGTCCTGGGACTGAGCCCCACATCAGGCTCCCTGTTCAGCAGGAAGTCTGCTTCTCCCTCTCCCACTCCCTTTGCTTGTGTTCCCTCTCTCCCTGTGTCTCTGTCAAATAAATAAATAAAATCTTAAAAAAAAAAAAAGAATACAGTTTCTCCATGTGCTAAATTTTTTGAAGGACTTACTTAATTCAGTAGTATATTATAGAAAAAACTTACTACATCTTGCTTAACACTTGTAACAGCATAGAGCATGTTTACTATTAATATGCAAAACATGTCTATTTTATTTATTTTAAAGATGTCTATTTTAGACAATATTAAAATGTTTTCTCAACTGCAGGACATGATCCATTAGTGGAGTGTGAAATAAATAAATACAGGAGGTTGTGACCAACATGTTCTTTAAAGAAAAACAGTGTAAAATAAAAAAATACAGTACACCACACTTAGCAAGGGTATTATTTCATGAAATGTTTGCTGCAGATATACATACATATTAAATTGTGTATGCACTGGATCACAATATAATTTATTTTTTTAGTGTGGGTCATAGTCAAAAAAATAAAAGTCATCAATAAAAACCTTCCAGGGACACCTGGCTCGCTCAAGTGGTGGAGCATGTGAGTCTTGATCTCGGGGTCATGAATTCAACCAAAACAACAAGATACCTTTAGAAATAAACCTAACCAAAGAGGTGAAAGACCTGTATTCTGAAAACTGTAAGACACAGATGAAAGAAATTGAAGATAACTCAAAAAAAGGAAAAACGTTCCATGCTCATGGATTGGAAGAACAAATATTGTCAAAATGTCTATACTACTCAAAGCAATCTACACCTTTAAGGAAATCCCTATCAAAATACCAATAGCATTTTTCGCAGAGCTAGAACAAACAATCCTAAAATTTATATGGAACCACAAAAGATCCCAAGTAGCCATATCAAAAAAAAAAAAGAAAAGAAAAGCTGGAGGCATCACAATTCCAGACTTTAGATTATATTACAAAGCTGTAGTAATCAAAACAGTACGGTACCAGCACAAAAATAGACACATAGATCAAAGAAACAGAATAGAGAACCCAGAAATGAAACCACAACTATATAGTCAATTAATCTTTGACAAAGCCAGGGAGAATATCCAATGGGAAAAACACAGTCTCTTCAACAAATGGTGTTGGGAAATTCAGACAGCAACATGCAAAAGAATGAAACGACCACTTTCTTACACCATACACAAAAATCAGTTCAAAATGGATTAAAGACTTAATGTGAGACTTGAAACCATAAAAATCCTAGAGACCACAGGCAGTAACCTCTTTGACATCAGCCATAGCAACTTCTTTCTAGATGTCTCTAGAGTCGAGAGGAACAAAAGCAAAAATAAACTATTAGGGCTTCATCAAAGTAAAATGCTTCTGCACAGTGAAGGAAACAACACTAAAAGGCAGCCTATGGAATGGGAGAAGATATTTGCAAATGGCATATCTGATAAAGGGGTAGCATCCAAAATCTATAAAGAACTTATCGATCTCAACACCCAAAAAATGAATAATCCAATTAAAAAATGGACAGAAGAAATGGACATTTCTCCAAAAAAGACATCCAGATGGTCAAACGACACATGAAAAGATGCTCCACATCACTCATAATCAGGGAAACACAAATCAAAACTACAATGAGATACAACCTCACACCTGTCAGAAAGGCTAAAATCAATTAACACAGGAAATAACAGGTGTTGACAAGGATGTGAAGGAGAACCCTTTTGCACTGTTGGTGGGAATGCAAACTGGTGCAGCCACCCTGGAAAAGAGAGTTTTCCCTGGAGTTTCCTCAAAAAGTTAAAAATAAAACTACGCTAGGATCCAGCACTCACACCACTAGCTATTTATCCAAAGAATACAAAAATACTAATTCAAAGAGATACACGTACCCTGATGTTTATACAGCATTATCAAAAATAGTCAAATTATGTAAACAGCCCAAGTGTCCACTGATGAATGGATAAAGATGTGGTATAGGGGCATGTGGGTGGCTCAGTCAGTTAAATGTCTGCCTTCAGCTTGGGTCGTGATCCCAGGGTCCTGGGATTGAGCCCTGCATCGGGGTCCCTGCTCAGCAGAGAGCCTGCTTCTCTCTCTCTCCCTCTGCTGCTCCCCCTGCTTGTTGAAAAATTATACTTTACCCATCGAATGGTCTTGGCACACTAGTTGAAAAGCAATGAACCACAGATTCATATCTGATTCTCAATTCTGTTCCATTGACCTATTACGTCTATTCTAATGCAAGTACCCCTGGCATTAGATCACTGTTGCTTTGTATTAAATTTTGAAATAAAAAAAAATGTGAGTCATTTAACTTTGTTCTTGTTTTTCAATACCGCTTTGGCTCTTCTGCACACCTTTCAACTCCGTATGAATTTCAGGATTAGCCTGTCAATTTCTACAAAAAAGCCAGCTAGAATTCTGACAGGGATTGTGTCAAACTGGAGATCAATTTGGGGAGTACTACCATCTTAACAATATTAAGTTTGATCCCTGAATATGAATGTCGTTCCATGTATTTTGGTCTTAATTTCTTTCAACATTTTATAGTTTTCAGAGTAAAAATTCTATACTCATTTTGTTAAATTTATTCTCTTTTGATAATACTGTAAATAGAACTGTTTTCTTAACTTCATTTTCAGATTAAACATAGATATTTTTAATAATAATTTGGACCTCTTCTCTCATGACCCATTCCTAGAAGCATATTATTTCTTTTAATTAGAGAAGTATTAGGGGGTGCCTGGGTGGCTCAGTTGGTTAAGTGTCTGACTCTTATTTTCAGCTCAGGTCATGATCTCAGGGCCGAGAGATCCCGCCCCACATCAGGCTCCACACTCAGTGCAGAGTCGGCTTGAGATTCTCTGCCTCTCTCTCGCCTTCTGACCTTCCCCCTGATCATACACACACTCTCTCTAATAAACAAATAAAATCTTTTTTAAAAAAAGGTATTAGTATTGGGGCACCTGGGTGGCTCAGTCATTAAGCATCTGCCTTCGGCTCAGGTCATGATCCTGGGGTCCTGGGATCGAGCCCCGCATTGGGCTCCCAGCTCCACGGGAAGCCTGCTTCTCCCTCTCCCACTCCCCCTGCTTGTGTTCCCTCTCTCTCTGTGTCTCTCTCTGTCAAATAAATAAATAAAATCTTTAAAAAAAAAAAAAGTGTTAGGGGGCGCCTGGGCGGCTCAGTTGTTAAGCATCTGCCTTCGGCTCAGGTCATGATCCTGGGGTCCTGGGACTGAGGCCCGCATCAGGCTCCCTGCTCAGCGGGAAGCCTGCTTCTCCCTCTCCCACTCCCCCTGCTTGTGTTCCCTCTCTCGCTGTGTCTCTCTCTCTGTCAAATAAATAAATAAAATCTTAAAAAAAAAAAAAGTGTTAGTATCTCTTAAACTCTAACTAGGGAACTCTTTATATAAATGAATTTTCCAGATTAGTGACACTCCTTCAATAAAAGTTAAAAAGTAAAATCACTTACATGAAAATGTTTTTGAAGTTTCAGGCTTCATAAAGAGTATATGGTGCTCATTTTGGTGGCACATATACCAGAATTGGAATGATACATAGATTAGCATGATTCCTGTGTAAGGATGACATACAAATCTGTGAAATGCTCCATATTTTTACAAATTTCCAATTATAAAATAAGTAACGGGAATGTAATGTATAGCATGGTGACTACAGTAAATAACACTGTATTGCATATTTATAAGTTGTTCAGAAAGTAAATCTTAAAAGTCCTCATCATAGGAAAAAAAAATTTGTAACTATGTAGGATGAGAGATATTAATTGGACTTACTGTGATGATCATTCTGCAGTATATACAAAAATATCAAATCATTATGTTGTACACCTGAAACTGTTATATGCCAATTATACCTCAATTAAAATAATTTTTTAAGATTTATCTTAGAGAGAGAAAGTATATAAGTGGGGAGAGGGGCAGAGGGAGAAGGAGAAAGATTCTTAAGCAGACTCCCCAGTGAGCACAGAGGCCAAAATGGGGTTCGATCTCACAACCCATGAAATTATGACCTGAGCCAAAACCAAGAGTCAGATGCTTAACCAACCGAGCCACCAAGGCGCCCCTAAAAATTTTTTTAAGGACAAAATATCTGATTTTTTTTTTATGAATCTGGTCAAGATGAATAATAGTTATATTACATCACTTGAGTGACACCCTTAAAGGTTACTGAAGTACATAAGGTTATTCTGCCTAGACTGCTCTGTTTTGTGTACTCTGTCCCCTCCCTTGCTATCAGTCAGCTAGTGATTACTTACTGATATATGTAATACCCTTCTCTTGTGTTCCTACTCTACAGGAGACTAAGAAAATAAGCTTGTTAGAAATGCATATAAAGGGGCGCCTGGGTGGCTCAGACGGTTAAGCGTCTGCTTTCGGCTCAGGTCATGATCCCGTGGTCCTGACATCGAGTCCCGCGTCAGGCTCCCTGCTCAGTGGGGAGCCTGCTTCTCCCTCTGCCTCTGCCTCTCTCTCTCTCCCTGTCTCTCATGAACAAATAAATGGAATCTTTAAAAAAAAATGCATATAAAATATGAAGCTTTAAGGAAAAGACGGTAGTTCTAAAATACAGAAACTTTAGGGTACATAGATCCTAAGATACCTATTTTGGCTGCTAAGACATTTTTATTTTTTATTTTATTTTATTTTTTTTTAAGATTTTATTTATTTATTTGAGAGAGAGAATGAGATAGAGAGAGCATGAGAGGGAAGAGGGTCAGAGGGAGAAGCAGACTCCCTGCTGAGCAGGGAGCCCGATGCGGGACTCGATCCCGGGACTCCAGGATCATGACCTGAGCTGAAGGCAGTTGCTTAACCAACTGAGCCACCCAGGCGCCCTGCTAAGACATTTTTAAATTTTTATTGTTCTTTTGGTTTGTTTGCTAGTCTTCAGCTTTGTTCCAGAGAGCTAGAACTTGTTAAGAAAAATGATACCATATGCAGCTTTACTATAACATAGTTAAAAATTTCAGCCAACGTAATTTGTAGTTCTAATTTACCTTAATATACTCTACATAAATTTTTGTGAAAAAAATAATCGAATATTCTGAAAATATAGATATTTTACAGTATCTGTAGAAAACTGCACTTCTATCATTGATGTATAAATTTCCTGCCCAATATATATAAAACAAAACTAATTTTATCCAGTAAGCTATAGAGGATGTTACATTTCTGATAATAATCTATCTTTATTAAAATGTTTGTGCTATTTACTTACTATAATACTAAAATCTACAAGTAACCAGAAGCCCACTTATATGGTAACAGTTGTGGTAATTCACTTGATGAAAAAGAATACAGCCATTAAACTTATAATCATGAAAATCACATTACCAATTTAGTAAATAAAAAGCAGAATCCCAAAGCATATCCAACTTTGCTTAACCAAAGTGCATATATATGCATATGTGACTATATACATATATGTACATACATATACACATGACAGAACAAAGACTTTGCTCTAATTTTCTGTGATGTTACAGTTCTGTCTACCAAAACAAAAACAATATAAAACTACCTTCATGAATTGGAATTTCTGGATGTTCAAATCCAAACCATCTAATTATTATTTAGATTTTTTAAATTATTTAGATTAATGAATCTCTGAAATAGTTTATAAAATAAAGATAAATAGAAAAAGTAGCATTACAACCTCAAAAAGACATGTTAACTTTTTAGTCTCATGGCAGAAACATTATTCTAAACTACCTAGGAGAGTCCTTTAATCATAGGCACACAGAATTACTTAAAATCACAAAGCATTTACTGTTGAAGCAAAACCACCCAAACTTGAGAAACTCCCACTATTATTCTTAACATACCAGTACCATTGGATAAAAAGACTGTTCTGTGTTTTTTAACAATACAAAAAAATTTGGGGTGCCTGGATGGCTCCGTTGGTTAAGTGTCCAATTTTTTATTTTGCTCAGGTCATGATCTCAGTGTCATGGATCAAGCCCTGCACTGGGCTCTGTGCTCAGCGCAGAATGTGCTTGTCCCTCTCCCTCCCCCCATTTGTGTTCTCTCTCTCTCTCTCAAATAAATAAATGAATAAAATCTTTTAAAAATATATAAAAAATTAAATATCTTTCAATTTTTAAAGAAAAATTATACTTTTTTGTGGGAAGGGGGAATGAGATCAGACGTTCCTTATTAATTTATGCTCTCCAGCAAGGGGGAAAGATAAAATGTAACGCCTTTCCAGGTTTTTTTGCTACCTACAGAATAAAGTGCAAACTCTCCATCATGGCCCACACCTAGTCAAGAATGGACTGCTGACATCTCTAGCCTCACTTCCCCTACTGTACCTTATTCAAATAAAAAGCTCAGGGCAGAATAAGGTACAATGTTTATAATGTCCTCTTCCACTTCGATTTTACTCTAAATTCCAAAATACATGTTTTGTAAAATTAAGAATAAATAAAAATAATAATTAATTAGCCAATGCTTTCCCTCTTCACCTCCCAGAAAAATCACTGAAGATTAAAGTTGGGAACGGTCCACTATAGAAACTAAAAATGTTACTTAAAGAAAAGATTTTTGGCTATCATTGTATACTTTGTATTTCTTTTCCTAGTAATAGGTAATTGTACTAAATGCCAATGACTATTATCTTTGGAATGAGATATTTATTCTAATGCCCTTTTAACTTTTTTTTTAAAGATTTTATTTATTTATTTGAGAGAGAGAGAATGAGAGAGAGAGAAAGCACATGAGGTGGGGGAGGGTCAGAGGGAGAAGCTGACTCCCTGCCGAGCAGGGAGCCCAATGCGGAACTCGATCCAGGGACTCCAGGATCATGACCTGAGCCGAAAGCAGTCGCTTAACCAACTGAGCCACCCAGGCGCCCACCCTTTTAACTTTTTTATCATCACGTGGTATTTCAACCACATAACTTAAGTGACAAGTGGTGAGATTACATAGTATAGAATGGAAATAATCTGGGATGTCCCAGATCTGGGCTCTGGTTTCAACTGTGTGGTGAACTAGTTTATTTTACCTTGACCAAGGCATTTAGTCTCTAATCTCTCTCATCTTTAAAATGATGAAAGTTGGACTAGGCAACACCAAGGGTCCTTACAGGTCTAAAACTTAAGTAACTCTTGCTTTTGTTGGTCTGGACTTCATATAGCATTAGTGATGACAACAATCCACTAGCAAATGCTCTTTGTTGATGGTGGTTAAAACAACTACAAATCTACTTAACTACCTAAGCAGCTAAATCACGTTTTTATATGTCACTAGAATATCTCAAAAGTCTGTCAAATAAATGCCTTGCTAAATAAAAACGTATAACACGGAGATATCTGGCTTAACATGGTAGCTAAAAAAGAGACATTTAGCTCTATTCCTTTCCAAAACCCCACTGAAATGACCAAAGAAAGAAAGAAAAATAAAGTAGGTGCAAAAACAGCAGACTGGAGATGTCAACCTTCAGAAGAAGTGAACAGACAAGACCTGCGAAAGCTGACATATAACACAGAGGAGGAATCTTAATGCTAAGACTGCCTAATAATATTCATAGAAAGTTTACAATTCCAGGGCGCCTGGGTGGCTCAGTTGGTTAAGCGACTGCCTTCAGCTCAGGTCATGATCCTGGAGTCCCAGGATCGAGTCCCGCATCAGGCTCCCTAATCAGCAGGGAGTCTGCTTCTCCCTCTGACCCTCCCCCCTCTCATGTGCTCTCTCTCTCTCTCTCTCATTCTCTCTCTCAAAATAAATAAAAAAAAATAAAAAAAAAAAGAAAGTTTACAATTCCATTGGAAACTTGAGAAGAATTAATGAAAGAGGGGAGCCTGGGTGGCTCAATCATTAAGCGTCTGCCTTCGGCTCAGGTCATGATCCCAGGGTCCTGGGATCGAGCCCCACATCGGGCTCCCTGCTCAGTGGGAGGCCTGCTTCTCCCTCTCCCACTCCCCCTGCTTGTGTTTCCTCTCTCGCTGTGTTCTCTCTCTGTCAAATAAATAAATAAAATCTTAAAAAAAAAAAAAAAAGAATTAACCAAAGATATGTGGATAACTAAGAAAATTCTTTAAAAATCAAGTATGAATACTTTTTTTTAGAGATTTTATTTATTTATTTAACAGAGAAAGTGAGAGAGCACAAGCAGGGGGAGCAGCAGAAGGAGGAGAGAAGCAGGCTCCCCACTGAGCAGGGAGCCTGATGCAGGGCTCAATCCCAGGACCCTGGGATCATGAGCTGAGCCAAAGGCAGACGCTTAACCATCTGAGCCACCCAGGCGCCCCAAGTATCAATAATTTTTAATTTTGAGGGAAGGGGTTTGGGGACGTACGTGAAAGAAAACATAATAATATAGTGCTCTCATAGCTCAGCTGTGAACAATATTTTCACAACCATAACACTATAAATGTAGAAAAATAGTTTAAACAAAAAGTATAACATAAGTATATTGGGAGAATGTGGGGAGTGACTGGGATGGTGTATACCAGAAAAATAAAAAAACAATCTTTATAACACTTAGGAAAAAGGAGCTATCCAGAAGACATGTTTTTTTGTGTTTTTTTTTAAAGATTTTATTTATTTGACAGAGAGAGAGACAGCCAGAGAGAGAATACAAGCAGGGAGAGCAGGAGAG